AGTGACATTAGCAATAAAATTACAGGACAAAGGGCATAAGACGACAATCCTCCAGAATGGCAATGTATAAGTGGTATCACAGCCATAACATGATAACGTGATGACATAGTACAGTTCATATATACAGACGACGATTACTGATATGATAATTTTTATTTTGATATGCAGTAATTCGAATTGTAAATTTTTATTACTTTTTTTGTTGACCAAAATAAGCCTTTTGTTTTTTTTTATAATTTAAAAAGTTTTTTTTTTATAATTTTATATTTTTTAACTTTTATAATTTTAATATATATATATATGTAATTTAATACTTCACCTAAAAATATATTATATTAATTTGTAGAATATTTTAGTTTCTTAGGATAATGAGCTGTTCACAGATGTCTATTATAGTTTATAGGTATATTTGCAAAGAGTATGTGTGTTATATATTATTAAAATTATCCTCTACAAATTAATGATATTCGAAATATTGTTAGTTATTGATCGATTATACCCCGTCTTGATCGTATATTTTGAAACTACACTTACAAGAGTATTTCTCAATTTTACTATATTTAATGAGCCGAACAAATTTTTTTCCTACTCGTTAGGATTCACTTAATTGCCAATTTATAACTACACATAACTAATTTGTGTGGTAATATTATGAACCAAAACTGGGCACTTCGTGTGACAATTAAAACTTGCGAACTGCTCAGTCATTTGTTCGGTTTATAAGCCCTGTAGTTTCCGGCATTGCGAGTCAGTGTTTCATTAAAAGTTACAGAATGATTCTTTTCGTGTCAACGCTTGTTACTGGTAAGAACCACAACTTTATATTTACGAATACAAATAAGTAACTCTATTTATCTATTAAACACATAATACAATAAAGTTTTACAGATAAAAAAAACTCAGTAAATATGGGTCCGATACCCGTAGTAGCCTCTATTCATAATTACAAGTTATAATTTTTTTAATCGACTGAGCTGTATTCATATTTCAAATTCCCGCTCAGCTTAGTTCATGTAATCCTTGAAAATATAAAAATGTATATTGAATTCTTAACTTTTTTTCCAATACTAATAGTATAAGAATAAGAAATATTGCTTTAACATTTAATAAAAAATATTGTAATTCTTGAAACAGAAATAAACTGCGACACGAAAACGAAAAAGTTCAGCTTTCAATTACTGACCGCGGGACATTGTTTTAATAAAGATTCTTCTATGGATGCTATTTTTATTTTTGCTCTTAATACCCTACCAGTTCTTCTCAATTAAAACTGTAGACGGAATTCGTCACTACGGTGGTAGAATTAAATTATTCTGAATTGAAATTTCGTAGTTTGGATGTATATTGTAGTAGTAAACCACCGGGTCACGACATCAAAAAATAAAACATATCTTTATAAAAATTACTGATGTTGACGATATGATTACAGATTTTGAGTTATGTTTGTATTTTATAATTATGTGCAGGAATTTAATGATTTATTATGTTTTCGTCTGTGATACCAATTGTTTTGTGCCAATTTATCATAAATTCATGAAAATGAATGAAATTGAACATAATTTTTAAAATTCACATAAAAGTTTTACATCTTTAAGACACTGTATGAAATAGTGTAAAGTAAAACCTTCGCAAATTTCAACAGGGGTATTTGTTGTCTATGATAATCTCTATTTGTACATGTCTAATAAATGTATGTATATTTACATGTCAGTAAATACTCATATTTCATTTAACATTACGAATGTTTTCATTTGCCAACTAAAATATATATAACAACAAAAAATAGTCTAGACTTATTTTTATCATAAACAATGGCATTCAATCCTGACATGAGTTGGGTCTGGAGTGAAGGAAGCATGGACATGATAAATCATCAGCACAGCCTTCAACAACAGCGGGTCGCTGTGACCGGGGAAAATATCTCTTACAAATAAGAGAGGAAAACATTTGGGTTCATATTGTGTTTTGTGTATATATACTTGCAATTATGTAGAACTTCTACAGGGTTTTTAGGACTATTTCTTTCATTAGCATTACTAATCAATTACAGATCTCAATTGATTTTTAAAAAAACTTGTATACTTAATTTTAACTGCAAGTGTTGCCACTATTTTCAGAAAGTATTCAATCTCTAGTTAGTAGTCTAGTAATGTTTATTTTTGTATAAGTCAGTATTTTTAGTTCTCATGTTAAGTGAATTATTTTTAATTCTTAATGAGAATAAATATCTAAAACCTAAATATAATAATCTAAATCACTATCCCTGTCCATCGTTGCTTCAGTTTTTTTTAAACCCCGCAATTTTGACGAAGACTGATCTGACATTATATAAAACCTAGTCTACTTTTCCCTTCACCAGTCACTTTTCCCCATTTCTCACAATCTCTTCCCCTTTATTATATATTTTTTTTAAACAATTAATCATGACATAATAAGTAGCTGCAACTTCATCCCCGTGACTATGATTAACAGAGATAAAAGTATCTTAGCCGTGTCTTTCTTCATTCTAAATGCTATGTATAAGCCAAGTTATATACACCCCCTACGTAGACATTATTTGATGTAAGAAACAAATAAATAAATAACTAAATACTAAAGTCGCCCTGCAACTTCGGATGTGTCAAATTTTCACCGTTTTTGCAATACTTTCTATTGCAGCTCTAATCCAACACAAAAAAAAATTAACAAAGAAGGAAATGAACAAGAATTTTCACAAAGGTTACCATTTTATAATATTAGTGTCGACATATGTAACCTTGTTAGTTATATAACTACTACAAAGTCTTTAACGAAAGTAAATGTGACGGTAATTATGTTAAACAAATACACAAGCAAAATCTCCTATTTTAGTTTCCGACCCATATGTGTCTTTAAATAAACATGTCATATATTCAAAGTTTCACGACATGTCCCTTGTGTAGCTAGACCCGCCTCTACCAGCCAGCAAGTAGTATCTTGAAATAGGCCAAGGTTTAATATTCCTTTTTCCAGACAAAGAACTAGACTCCAAATGTTGCTACTTCTAATAACTACCTCAAAGGTGTAGCGGTCTTAACACATTGCCTTATATTTAGAAGGTCGCGGGTTCGACCTCAGCACGGTGTACTTTTTTAATGTAGAAATTCTGTTGAGTTTCTTGCCAATTCTTTTGAATTGAATCTGCATACTGCACTGTATGCTAGAGGTAAAATATTAATACAAAAAACTTGACGTTCGTATAACGGCTAAACTCTCCTTTTCAATAAATGATTTTTGATTTAATTCGATTTATAACTGTCTGTATGAAAACAAATGTGTATCAAAACGAATGTATTTCTATACTGAATAATTCAGTACTAGCTCCTTCTTAAACCTTCCTCTAAATCAGTTGGGTAATTATAAAGATTTAAGCACACATAGGGACAGACAGCGTCAACGAGTTTCTTCTATACTATGTAGTGATTATTATACCTACTAATATTTAAATTTTGAATATTATGTATTGAACCAAATTTTTACTGACTTTTTGAACTTTACCAGTTATATGAAATTTCCAAAGAAGAACAATTGAAATAAATATTTTTAGTATTATACTAAAAATATGCACATACAGAATAAAATTTGGAATAAAATCAAATGTCTTATCCGACGAACATAAAATTAACAACCTTAAACTATCATTTTATGTGCCATAAAAAAAACAATAACATACATCTAAGGCTAAGACACCGTCATAGCGCCCGAAAAGAGCGTTTCATTTTATAATCATCAGACACATGTCTTTAATGGCTATCTGACAAACTAATTGTTTCAAGACCGTATATAATACTATTAATGGGTACTTTATGTCACATAAAGTGTATTAAACGAATGTTTTAATTCTAAATAAATAAAGAATACAATTATAATAATAAAAATTTTATTCAAATTACTGAGATCCATATTTGTTAGTTAGAAAACTTAAGTCTTTGTTAGTGTATTTACAATTACGTCATTATTTGAGAGACCCGTAACAATTTGGGTCCAAAAAATATGAAATAGGCTGTCATATTTATTGCATGGGTTTTCAGAATCCTGTTACTGCCGCCACACAATATATGCTATTGATACATATATTCTCTTAGCTGTATTCGTATTTAAAAACATGAGGATATCATAAGATAGAGTACAAATTCTCCAATTAAATTTTCTACTAAACACTTTTTACAACACGGCTTTCAAAGCAACAGACAGTTAAAATCATTGAAAGAAATAGGTAATAAAACATCGTATAATATGTATAGAAAACTTTAATATTGTATATTGTATTTTTTATAATAATATACTTAAATTCTTATAAATCTCTTTAATTGTTTAATGTCAGTTATATATATTTTTATTCTCAACTATCTACTCTATTATTAACTAACAAATACTAAGACATGTTGCCTAGTAACAATAGTAATTAATCAATAAATATAATTATTCGAAAAATATACTTTAAGCCTTCAAATAATATTGGAAATCAATTTATTGTTAATAATAGTAAGTATTAAAAACATAATTAATCTTAACAATCGTTTCTTTTCTTTTCAGATGGAAAATTTCTTCACCAATCATCGGCACTAATGAAGCAATCCACAGACGGGATATTGAACAAGAAGCATCTCGAACCGCCCTTTAAACGCAATAAAACCAGACGCTCCACAGCAATTTGTACCAAAGATCAACTTTGAACAAATTCGAACTGTAAATAGATAGCAATAAGAACGAATTCATCATTTGAAACTCCTTGTTCCAATGGATATGCTTGGAGTTGGAAAGTCAAACCAGACGATATGTCAATTAAAATTCATTCTTAATTGTAATAAGACACGCCATTTGAAAACGAAAAAACTCCACGACGAAGTCGTGTTTCAAACTTGACTTGACGATATTATTAATTTATGTTTCAGTATAATTCATTGCTATCTAAATTATAAGTAATATAATAAGTAGACGAAAATCAAAACCAATGTATGGCAAAGTCAAAAAAACGATACAAGTAATCGTCACCCATACCAGGGACTCGTATGGCGACTCAAAGTCGTAACTCCCACTGTTCACTGCCCAACTTTGTTGCTTTATCTTCGCGTCTTCTAATACTGGTATCTTTAGTACTGCTACAATTAGATTTGTCCAATGCCTCGGTAGACTTCAGTGAATCGACTGTCGGTTCTGATTTTAATATCACCAGTCTAAATTCAACAGTTAACTGGACAGTTTTCGATGATAATAATACTGATGTACACATAAAGCATAAGAAATACTCGACTGCGGTCAGCATACTGCTTGCCACAGTTTTTATGATTGTAATTATTGGAACTGTGGTGGGTAATATATTAGTTTGTGTTGCCGTTTGCCTTGTAAGAAAGCTGAGAAGGCCTAGCAACTATTTAATTGTATCATTGGCTGTGAGTGATCTTTGTGTTGCTATAATTGTAATGCCGATTGCTATGGTATATGACATTATGGGTACTTGGCCGTTTGGACCAATTATTTGCGATTTTTGGGTATCAAGTGACGTGCTTTCCTGTGCTGCAAGCATATTAAATCTCTGTATGATCTCTGTGGATAGATATTACGCAATTACAAAACCATTAGAATATGGTGTTAAGAGGACGCCAAGAAGAATGTTTTTCTGCGTGTTTATCGTTTGGATGAGCGCGGCATTTATATCACTTCCACCAGTTTTAATATTGGGTAATGAGAAATCTGAGACATCATGTTCTGTATCCCAAAACAAAGTATACCAAATCTACGCAACCCTTGGTTCTTTTTACATACCACTCACTGTGATGATAGTAGTATACTACAAAATATTTAGCGCAGCTAGAAAGATTGTAAAAGATGAAAGGCGTGCTCAATCACATTTGGAAACACACTGCTACCTTGAAATTAATGTCAAGAATGGTGGCGCAGCGGAGGCAAGACTTTTGGGAACACAACCAACACAAGCCACAGCCAGAGGATCCACTGCTAGTACCAACACTACCGTAAGTATTTAAAATATACTAGTGTAGTCGGTTATTTCATTTGAAACCTAATCTGAAGTAATAAAAATGATAATAATTAAATGCCTATTGCATTTCTTGTTCAATATACAAAAGCAGTTTTAGTTCTTTGATACAACTTATTGTATATAAATATATATAAATAATTCACTATTGTAATGTTATCCTGTGTCGCCAATTTTAGATAATTAGTAATATTGTTTCAATTATATTCAAAACTAAAATTTATCTGTTTTCTTTGTTACAGTGCAGTGTAGATAAAACAGAAAGCACTATAGGGAGATGTTTCAGTGGACAGCGAAAGTCCAACGAGTCACAGTGCCCAATGTTGAAAACTCCTACGAAACCTATACATACGATAAACCGATCCACATCTCATACTCCAACCACTGACAATAAACTCCAAGTTAAAGAAAGACGAAGACAGTCATCTGAAAGTAGTAATAAACTGACGACAAATAGAATTCGATCGTCATTATCAAATTTTGCTCAAAAAAGTCACATTGCTAAAGACTTGCTACACTCGTCTTCACATTCGCCTCACCAAAAGAAATTACGGTTTCAATTAGCAAAGGAGCGAAAAGCATCCACTACACTTGGTATTATAATGTCAGCGTTTGTGTTTTGTTGGTTCCCGTTTTTCGTGCTTGCTTTAGTGAGACCTTTCGTCGAAGAAGGTACCATTCCAGATGCAGTGAGTGCGCTCTTTCTCTGGTTAGGTTATATAAACAGTTTGCTAAATCCAATAATTTACGCCACTTTGAATAGAGACTTTAGAAAACCCTTTCAAGAGATATTATTCTTCAGATGTTCAAACTTAAATCATATGATGCGGGAAGAATTCTACCATAGTCAGTATGGTGACCCTGATCAACATTATTGTGTGAATAATACTACTAAGATACACAATTATGATGAAGGTGTGGAAATAGTATCTGCTGTAGATCGTGAGGAAACGAGAGCATCCGAGAGTTTTCTATGATTGTCAATGCCTGAGGTCGATACAAGAGACCTAGATACTGTGATCTAATTAAGACTTTTTTAAGATAATTACAAGGTCTAACCACTTACTTTTATTTCGTCATATTTGTTCTACTATTTATAACTTTTTACGCTGTTTCAAACTGACTAGTCGTTACTAATTTGTAAAATTCCTTTGAGATTTAGTCAAATTGTTTATATTATGAATTATAAGTAAATTAAGTACATTTAAAACTATATTTAGTACCAGTTTGCATAGAACAAAATAATTGATAACGTTGTATTGAAAATGAAATGTAATATAAATTACTTGGGGAATTTATAATTTCAGATTGACCAAAGAAATACTAAATGTAAAAAGAGAAAGGTTTTATATGGTGTAAGCTGTTATGAATTTGGTAACTATAGTATTAAAACGTATTATGTTGTTGCCTAAGTGGTGTAAATGTATGACATTAAAGTAGTCAAAAGTATTTTAATCCATGTGATAGTAGGTTAGTCGATCCCCTTTTACATTATCAATGTTTACTTTATAAATAAAAGACTTCAGTAAGAAAAAAATATTTATGTTACACACGTATATAAATAAAAAAAACTAATGCTGTTATTTTTGGGGATTTTAATAATTATTTAATTTTGTAAACATATTTAGAATCCCTGTTTTAGTTCTATGTTTGAATAATGTAAATTATTATTGTTCTTGTTGAATTTATTGTAATAGTTATGTGTATGTACATATTATTTATTGAAAAATAATAATTATTACATCCCATTGCAATAATACATAATTAAGATAAGGTTGCTAATACAAAATATAAATAGAATATAAATCGTTGGCACTGCCAAATATTAAAATAGAACAAATAAATATTATATTTAAATAGCATTTAAATAGTTGTCTATTCCATATCAAAAAAAAACAATACACTTTTAAAACAAGCGATTTAAGCCTTGTCTTACGAAATCATCATAGTACATAATACTGAGCATATCTTTTAATTTTTCTTAGTAACATATTATTGTTGCGGTTCTGAGTTCGGTTGACAATAATTAATTTTCTATAAAAATTAGATTATATTTATGTAAATGATACCTTCACATACTTAGTTACTATAATAATAGTAGTATTTTATTTATTTGCTTTGAATAGATTACATTGTTTTAGGAATAAATACATAGTTCCGTATTCATTTATATTTTGAGTATGCAAATTTAAATTAATTTAATAACAAATATTAATAATCAATATTTATCATAATGATTCCCTGTAATAAAAGCACATTTTATCTATAGATTTTTTCACTCATGATCTTGACAAGGAGAATATTGTTTTGCTAGCTATCTCCATTCATTTATCAGATGCTTTCCTTTGAAACACAAAATCTCTGTTCAAAATATTTTTACTTCATAATTATCAATATTGTCTTAAAATAAATCACCGATAGCATATTTGAATGAAAAGTACAGAAAATTGAAGCGAACTCAAACATTTCAATTAACATAATTTGTTTTCAATTTTTCCCTTGTTACCAAACTAATTGGAGAGTATCATATTTAGAAAGAAATTAAAAATTCGGGAACGTTGTTATAAAAACAGGGCAAATCAGCCAATATATACTTATTGTAATTGGTAATTAGGAACGAATTGGGGGGTTTAGCAAAATGGTTGAAAGGTATATTTTATTAAATTGAATATAATTTTCTAACGTAACTCTGTATTCATAACAAAGTTTTTGTTTTGGAAACCAACAACTTGGTTTGGTTTTGGGTTTGAATAAATTTCTAGCTGCCTATATTGATTTTTTGCAAATTTATATATCTTGCTGGTAAGCGTCGATCTCTTAGAATCGATAAGTACTTCTATATACATTATATATCATATAACGTTAAGAACTCTTGATGTCCGCTTATATTTTATTAAGTACTAATATCCTACCCCGACTTCGGACGAATGCAATTATTAAATAAGCATCTCTAATTTTTCCAATAGTAAAATAGGATACGTTATTTTTTCTTTATCCATTACAAATAATAAATAAAATTTTACTTCTTTATAATAATAATTTACATTAAATATAAGATGAATAATTATGCAATATTTTTTATTATGTACTATAAAAAAGATATAAATTTGTCAACCGAACTGATTACAAATTCGCTTACGTAGAACAAAATGTATGTTGTAAATATTGTTAATAGTAGGTATGCACTAGTGACATTATAAATATAATATATAAGTTAAGTAATAATTGTAGGTAGATGATAATATTGCAGACAATGTGTGGGGAAACTACGCTTGGAAAAAATAATTTGACATTTCGATTTGATGTTTATATTGAGATATGTAATAAAAGTTTCATTCAAGTAGTTTCTTTCCAATAATATATTGTGGTTGTGTGTGGATATTATTATAAATGAACCACGTTTTCAGTTTGATTACCTCTAAATGTGCAATATATTGTAGTTCATAATGTTCTTAGGTCACTTATTTCTTGAGGAAATGGAAATGGTAGTCAGATATTTAAATGTTACAAAAGTCGGATAAATCATATTTATCTGAAATACAGCGCGCAAGCTTGTCTTTAAAGAAAGCCTACAAGGCACTAAATAGCTATACAATTACAATAAGCATACCATGATCCAGAATGAATAAATAGAGAAATACAATATGCAGTTGCTCAATTGCGTCATAATAATAATCTTGCAATTTCATACGTGAAGGTTGAATTTTTGTACGTACTACATTCTATTCTTTACACTATCTCCTTTATGTAGTTGTTGTAATTTCTTATAAACTTGAATAAGAGCCTTATGAAGATCAAAATAAACTTTATCTTTATATAGCGTTTTGAATAAAAAAATAATATATATTTATCTGATTTAAACATAGTAATTGTAAATCACCTATTCCGAGAGGCAGGTGCACCTTTTTTAATTTACCACTTGAAATATACCGAGTTGTCTATGAGAGGATAGCAGTATCTACAATATTTAGTTATTGTTCTTAGTTACAATAGTTTGCAAATGCAAACTAGGCCATAAATCTTCCGCTGTCTTTGGTTTAACAGCGTGTGACAGGCCACTGCCACCGAAATGTAAACGAGACTTGAACAAATATTTTGGCAAGCTGTTTATTCTTTCCTAAATAAAGAGATTGTTGACATAGTTGTAATGCTTTATTTACGGAGATTATTTCAGTGATTCTATTGATTGAAATAATTTAGTAATTGCAGACATAGTAATTAAAAAGTATCTTGCCATTTTCTCGTTGTAATGTCAGGGGTAGTGAACCTTCAATGACAACGAACCTTTTTCGTGGCCATTGTTGAAATGTGCCATCAAATAATTTTAACTGTTTGGAAATTAAATAAATGGCTACTCTGAAAATATATTTCAACATTATATTGAACTAAAATGCTGACCATTTTGATTAGTGGCGAAATCAATATATAAATCGCGTGCCATGGGTTCACCATCCCTGGTGTAAAGGATCTATTTAATAGAAAGTAACAGTTATAAACATATAACCAGTCTTACCTCAGTTCTAAGTAATTACATATATTTAACAAGTAATATATATTTAGTAATCAAACAAATAAATTTGTTTAATATAAATTATCTCTTTTATATAATGTATAAAAGTCTTTTATTTCTTTATTTATACAACTGGAATTTATAGTTTAAGTAACTATATATGTACATTAGTCAAGCCAAGTACATGTTAACAATGTGTATATTTATAATTGTTTAATAATTAATGACTGGGCCTAAATTATTGTTATAATTATGCGAACTATGTTGAATATTATTTAATAGAATTTCACTTGTAAGTAATAAACCATCTCGTCTCTCTTTTTCCTAGCAATTCGATTTAGCGATTAATAACTACATCGCACATTACGTTACTAAAACTTAAGTTTACAATTTTTATACAAAAAAACAAAATCTCTGTCGCTGTCTGTCCATCCCTATGTAGAATACATGTAAACCCGGGCGAAGTGAGTAGCTAGTATAACATATAACTATTAGAATTATACCCCTACTCTATAGTAATATACATGACATTAAAAAATCAGTGTTTGCTTTTCGTAACTACTTTCTTTTTGTCACTATCAAAAAGAACTATTTATGCTTATAATTTATAATTATTGATTGGTTTTATAAACACAATACTAGATTTTTGGTTTCTGAAGAAAATTGCGTAGATGAACATTTTATTATTTAATTTTTTTTTATATTTAATTTTTTATTGTTTTCTATCAATTTATAATTAAGTTGGTATATCTTTTGTATCGTAATGTGCGAAGGACTAACGCTGTCCTAGTTTAGTGACATGGTACTTCAAGAAGTGATGTAAGGAGCGGAAACTCCTGTCAAAAGATCTCCATATGTGCCGAGTTGGTACTCGAGTGTTTGGTAAGTCACCAACGGCTTTTAGTTTGTGAATTCAAGTAGCAAGTCCCAAGATCTTAATTCATCTTTTGGGTTAGATGTTTTACCTTAAACACAATTTCCACGATACCTATCGGGAATCTAATTTCCACAAAAGTCTTGAGCATCCACCATCAAATAAAATACTCACTGATAAGTAAATATAAAATATACAACACCGCTTCAGTATCTACGATGCGTAAAATGTACTACGAATTCTGTCCATATACATTAAGATCATAACCTACAGGATACTACTTCTTTGTACTAATGACGCTAGTCATTTTTTATTTCGAAATGAAACTATTTATTCATAAGATCTGTGAAATCGGATATATCGCTTTTTACATCACTCTAGTGTTTAGAAAAATACTTAATTGTCAGTTGAATTAACACAGAAGTAAAAGTATACCCAAAGCCAGATTTATGTAACTACATTGCTACAAAAGTATATATTAAAAAAAGCACTTCCAGTTATTGTACAGTCATGTCCTGACCAAATTATATTTGTGTTTGTATCCTAAAAATCAATAACAGTTTCTAAGAAGTTTTATGTAACAAAGCTTAGTTAATAATGTGTTTATTATTTTGCAAAAATGTAATGTAACAGATATGCTTATGCTTATAGCTAACAACGGATATATAAAATATATAGTTTCAAAAATGTTGGTAGGCACAGTTGCTTTATTTATTATTAT